GAGATTAAGCTGGACCCAGAAGTGGGTGGAGATGGGCCATGAACGACATGAATTGGAAGGTCCCCAGGGTACCTCCAGGAGGTCACATTCTGGGATCCTGAGAGCCAAAGGTGGTTTGCCGTAGTCAGGGCAGGTCTCCTGAGATGGTGAGGCATGGATTAGGCTTGATGCTTAGGAAGATTTTTTTTTCTTTTTCTTTTAAAATTTTTACTGGAATGTAGTTGATTTACAATGTTGTGTTAGTTTCTGGTGTACAGCAAAGTGACTCAGATATAGATATAGATATAGATATCCATTTTTTTCAGGTTCTTTTCCCATATAGGTTATTACAGAATATTGAGTAGAGTTCCCTGTGCTATACAGTTGGTCCTTGTTAGTTATCGGTTTTATACATAGCAGGGTATATATGTTAATCCCAATCTCCTAATTTATCACTTCCCTCCTTGTTTCCCCTTTGGGGACCATAAGTTTGATTTCAAGATTGGTGAGTCTCTTTCTGCTTTGTAAATAAGTTCATTTGTATCATTTTTTATTAGATTCCACATACAAGTGATATCATATATTTGTCTTTCTCTGTCTGACTTACTTCACTTAGTATGATAATCTCCATGTTCCTGCAAATGGCATTACTTCATTCTTTTTTATGGCTGAGTAATATTCCATTGTATATATGTGCCATATCTCTTTATCCATTCATCTGTCGATGGACATTTAGGTTGCTTCCATGGACATTGGGGTGCATGTATCTTTTCGAATTATGATTTTCTCTGGATATATACCCAGGAGTGGGATTGCTGGATCATATTATAGTTCTATATTTAGTTTTCTAAGGAGCCTCCATACTGTTCTCCATAATGGTTGTACCAATTTACATTCCTACCAACAGTGTAGGAGGGTTACCTTTTCTCCACACCCTCTCCAGCATTTATTGTTTGTAGATTTTTTGATGACGGCCATTCTGACTGGTGATACCTCACTGTAGTTTTGATTTGCATTTCTCTAATAGTTAGTGATGCTGAGCATCTTTTCATGTGCTTTTTGGCCATCTGTATGTCTTCTTTGGAGAAATGTCTATTTAGATCTTCTGCCCATTTTTTGTTTGGGTTATTTGGTTTTTTGATATTGAGCTGCATGAGCTGTTTGTATATTTTGGAGATTAATCCCTTGTCAGCTGATTCGTTTGCAAATATTTTCTCCCATTCTGTGGGTTGTCTCTTTTGATGTGCAAAAGCTGCTAAGTTTAATTAGGTCCCATTTGTTTATTATTGTTTTTATTTTCATTACTGTAGGAGGTGGATCAAAAAAGATATTGCTGGGATTTATAGAGTGTTCTGCCCATGTTTTTCTCTAAGAGTTTGATAGTGTCTGGCCTTACATTTAGATCTTTAATCCATTTTGAGTTTATTTTTGTGTATGGTGTTACAGAGTGTTCTAATTAAGTATAGCTGACCAATTTTCCCAGCACCACTTATTGAAGACTGTCTTTTCTCCATTGTACATTCTTGCCTCCTTTGTTATAGATTAGTTGACCGTAGGTGTGTGGGTTTATCTTTGGACTTTCTATCCTGTTCCATTGATCTACATTTCTGTTTTTTGTGTGGGGAGATTTTAAATGTTAGAAAAGAAAAGAGCATCTAAGGCAAATAAGAATAGATATGATTTTAACAACAATAAGAGTACAAAGCTACGTCTCCAGTAGACAAAGCTCTCTCACATGTAATTTTTCAGTGCTTCCCAACTATTCCTGTACCACCTTTAGGATTTGGGGCATTATGCCAATGGGGACACTGAGCTTGTGGTGAGGGTGACCTGTCCAAGTTACAGAATTACCCAGTAGCTAAGCTACAAGAGCGACCAGGCCTTCACTCAGGGACTTTAAGATGACTGCTCTTTCCCCCGCTTTTCCCAGTCTCCCCGAAATACCAGCTTGGCGTCTGCTGTATGAAGGACCTGTTTGTTGGAAGCTGCAGGGTCTGGCTCTGGGGCTTGAAGCTCAGGGATGGGGTCTCAGGGGGTGGGGGAAGCAGGACGGGGCTGCGACACTCACTGCTTCCTCTCCACCTCTTCCAGGCCTTCACCACCGTGGCCACCCTGAATCCCATGCGGCTGTCCATGGTCTTACTACCCTTCACAGTCAAAGGCCTCGCAATGTCCAGGTCTGCCTCAGAGAGGTTCAAGGTGAGCTGTCAGAGGCCTGGCCACACAGCCCTTTGCTCCGCATGCTCATTTGCCTTCAGCCCTACGATAGACCTCCTGAATGTGACCCCAGGCCAAGGCAGAATTCAGCCTGGCTGGAGAGGGACCCTCTAACTCAGTGACCTACTGTGCCCAGGCTGGGTGGGCCTGGGAAGACAGATGAGTCAGGCTGGCTCCCAGGCCCCAAGGACATCTTAGGACAGTGGATCCAAACCACATCTCAGACCCATGACCTGCAGACCCTGTCTAGGTGTGTGTAGAGTTACGCTGATGGTTTTGCTTTTAAAAAGTTTTATCTGTTGCTGGCATTTAAAAAGCTGGAAATTGTCTGTTAAAAACTCAGATTTCTGGATTCTCTTGAATAATCAGGCGATCCGGCCACAGTGGACCCACGTTCTCCTGTGGCCACGGCAGCTGGAGATAGCTGCCCCGCGTTTAGTTAGGGCACTCAGGTGGGGTTGCTGCAGCCTCCACCACCCGCTATTTCCCCGCCAGGCCTGGGTCTGTCTTACCATTCATCCTCTTTTTTTTTTTTTTTAATAATTTACTTTTAAAATTTAAAAAAAAATTTTTATTTCTTAATTTTTTTTTAGTTCATTCATCCTCTTAGCAATTGCCTCCTTCACTTCTTTACACTTCTGGTCTTGCTCCTATAAGCATCGGAGTTGAAAAACTCTAAACTAAACTGATTTCTAAAAGCATTTTGTAGTCACTCACTTAAATGTGTGAAGTCCCTAATCTATGTCATTCATCACTCATTCATTTATTTAAAAAAAAAAATTAAGGGAGAGTTCCCTGGTTGCCTAGTGGTTAGGATTCCAGGCTTTCACTGCAGTGGCCTGGGTTCAATCCCTGGTCGGGGAACTGAGATCCCACAGGCTGCACAAAGTGATCAAAAAAAAAAAAAAAAAAAATG